GGGAAAGATGCGTAAACGAGAATTCTTTTCTACACTGGAAATGGATAATCACTTGCTCTTTACTCCTCCTCTCCCTCAAATTCCTGAATCCTTTTGGACCTTTTTTTTTCAATGTTAGTAAACAAAAATTTATTTTAGAATTAAGGAAATGAAGCTTCATGTGACTGTGATCACAACAGAAAGACTTCCAGTGGTGCACAGATCATGTAAACAGAGGCAAACAGATGTTCTTCAATTATCCTGACACATTGTTCAAAGCAAAGACTTATGTCCTTTTTTCTGTGATCATAATTATGTGGACCTCTTATTCTAATTGCTGGCTTTTGTTACATCTCAGACTTGCATGTGAACATGATATTGGCCTAAAAAGTATATTGATTATTGCAGGTTGTGGTTAACTTTTTAGCTCATTGAGCCAGGATTGTGTCAGCAGTATTATGTTTATTAATAATAAATCTGCTAATAAATCTTTCTGTAGCATAATACTTCAGTTGCCCTTTTCTGGCTAATTTAAAATTTTAACAGTATAATATACTTCAGGTATATTTTGACAGAAAAACCTGTACTGCCTAGCTTACTGCACAATATTGTTAAATGCCAAATATGAGAGTAATCTATTTGAAAAAGCTGTTCAGTTAAATATGCCTTTTTTCTGCAAGTCATGGAGTTACATGGGTTTAATATAAAGAAAGCTAAACGAAAAATTTGTCATAGAGGTGGGCAGAGCAAAATAAATCTTTCTTTGTAAGGATTTAAGGTTGCCTATGACTCATGGACTTGTGATAGGATAAAAATGTCATGTTTCTAGACTGGGTTCTTGGAATAACAAGCTAAATATAAAATATACATTATTTTTAGTTTAAAAGTCATCCCTTTATATGGTAAGTATGAACAGAGCAGAGCTGCTAAATATCTGATATAACAGGAAGAAAATACATCTGTGGATCTCTTATTCCTCATTTTTGTGTCAGTGGAGTAGGCTTTAATGATTGGATATGTTTTAGCTCATAAAAATTCATTTTATCTTTTGGACTACAGTGCGTACAAATGCATGTGTGCACATATATCTGTTGGTCAAGTATGGACTGCCTTTTTGTGTTTGGAAACAAATGCTCCTCTCTGATATGACATGAGCATACTTTTTTGGCATCATGAAGTCTGGTCTCTGAAGTTATTAAATAAGCAGTGACAAACTAAAGGAAGAGAGAAAGAGAGTGCTATAAACCCTGAAAATCAGCTGTGGAAAGGCAGAACAACTGAGCAAAACTGGTAGCCTTAAATATTACAACAGTATGGGTGTTGCAATGGCTGAGGCTCAACAACTAACCTTCTGAACTTTGTTTTGCAAGAATGCTCACTAGCTATTAATTTCAAAATGAATGTTTCCAATAGGATTCATTCTACATTGTCATATCCCACCTCAAAGTCTCTGTCTATTACTTTCAGTTTCTACTCCTCCCTGTTGTCTAACAACTCTCTTGACAGAGAGTAGGGGTGCTTGTGGTAGGGAGATGAAGAGAACTTACTTCTGCTCAAGTAGTTAAAGTTGTTGCTATCCTTGTATCTAAACTAGACCCCTTTCTGGGCCATACATGGAGAAGCCTACTGCTTTGTGAAAGATGCAAAAGCTTTAGCTACTGTCAATTTTGCTGCATTTTAAAATATAAAGCTTCTTATAAGAACAAAACTAATGTAATTTTACTGTTTAGAAAAATGCTGTTATGGGAGATTACTAGAGGTTCTCTTCCAGGTATTCTTGAAACCAGGGAAA